GGTTCATTTCTATTCTCTTGGCACCTCCTTGGGCAAAGCCCTCTGGCAAAATAGAATTCGTGTGATCTTGGGAGAGGAAAATATTGAACCGGAAACTTGCTTACAAATTTGCATAAATTCTTGTAATTATCATTAATAACTTTGTATTGTAAAGAGCTGTATCTCAGGGAGTGAGAACAGGAGGTAGGTGAAATGGGCAGAAGCAGGCAGAGGGACTGAAGGGACAGCACAGGTCCTAGATGCTACAAGAGTGGCATGAGCAGGGTAGAAAAGTGGACATGGGAGCTGACTCCTTCCCAGGGCATCCTGTCTGTCCCTGACTGGGTGTCTGCTTGTTTGCAGGCTCCATCTCTGCTTCCTGCCTGCTACAGGGGATCCTGATCACCCAGAAAAGCCAGGGTGCCCAGCGCTGACCCTCAGAGGGTCTCCCTGTGCATGCCCATGGGACAGCAGCAGGTGTGGATAATCACTCCAGTTGTTGCTCTTGATGAGTTGTATCAATAAACTGGTCAGCAAACAGTACCAGTTTGAACACTGCACTGCCTGATGCTAAGAGCTTTGTCACAACTTGATCTTGCAGAGGAAAATGAGACACAGAGAGCTCTTTAATTACTCCAAGATTGGGATGGTAGCCTGAATGCAAGTATTGGGCTGTGGCCACAACTCTAGAATTCTGAAATCCCAAAAGGCTTAAAATCCAAACGTCGTTTTGTTTATTCAGCCTGTAAAAATGGTAAGATATACAATAAAATATTTAACTTGGCCCTTCTTTTAGACACATTTATTTAAGTGTGTGCATGAGTGTATGTAAGTGCATAAAGGAGCTGTGCAAGCTGGAGAGGCATCAGATTGCTTGAACTGTAGTTACTGATGGTTGTGATCCACGGCGTAGATACTGGGAACCAAACTCAGGTCCTCTGCAAGAGCAATAAATGCTCAAAGCCTCTGAGCCTTCTCTCCAGCCCCACCTGCGCCATTCTTAAGTGTATTTTACTTTATTCATAACACTGCCACTGCAATGGCTGCCACCTCCAGGGCTGCTTTCAGTTTGGGAGACCCCACTGTCTTCACCCAACCGTATCTCCCTATCCAGGTCTTCACCCCAGCATCCACTTTTTGTTTCTGAATTAAGTGTGACATTAATTAGTCAATAAGTTTGACCTAAATAGACAGGACATGGACTTTATTTCTTATTTACTCACTTGGCATGTAGTCTTTATGTATTTATACATCTCTTTGCAGAAATGTGTGCTTTCATTACCATGCCCTTATTCCTGTACTGTGTAATTTCAACAAATAAATAAACATTTGATTAGTTCTCAGACTATCTGACCTCTAGCCATTTGCTTAGAGATCATGGTACCTACCATATAACTAGAGGTTTTGATTTAGTTGTACTTAAAACATACAAAAAAAGTTGTTTGAAGAAGTCTGAGTGATTGTCCACTTCCTCACTGTCCAACATGCAGACATTTGCTTAACCCCACTGCTTCCAGAAAAGGCCCTTCCTCTGCAGCCCACCTTTCTGACCTCCAAGGAATAGATACAGTGTGTGTGTGTGTGTGTGTGTGTGTGTGTGTGTGTGTGTGTGTGTGTGTGTGTTTCTGTTGCTGGGGGGTGGGAGGACTGGGGGCCTTCAGTGCCTAGCTACACCTCCAGCCCTCAGAGCCTGGGGGAGGGGAGGGAGGGAAGCACTCAGGGCCTTCTGTGCACGGCCATACCTCCAGCCCTCAGCTCTGTTTTGTAACTGGACTATGAACTCACCTTATCTAAGCTCCACCCACACCTTCCAGTGCCTGGCTATATGGGTTATGTGGATGAATTGTGCATTTTGGCTCTCTCTAATTTAGGGCACTCTTGATAAATCAATCAGCGTTTGACCTTTTGCTGTCTAATAGTTTCTGGAATCCTGTTTAAAGTGACAACTACTGAACAACTAGGGCCTCCAGAGAGACCCCAAAGCAGCTTCCTTTGCACTTCAATGAGGTTTCAAGGGAGAGCCGAAGGTAAAGTTGCCTTCATCCTGCCATCTGTAGTGGATCTGTAGTGGATCACTTTCTCCAGAGTAGCCCAGTGCCTCTTCTGTTTTCGCCTAGTGTAGGTTTGAGTTTTTGTTGCTAGACTGAAGGTCTAGATAAGAGCCAGAGTTTGTCGAGTCTTTTGTCCTCTGAAGTCCTAAGAGTCCAAGAAAACCAAAAGTCATCCACAGAGCCCATATCTGGCCAGGACCCAGGATTCTGGCAGCACACATCTGCCCCATGTCTGTCCTTGTTCCCTTCCTGCAGTCTTGTTTGGAGACAGGGCTTCATTGAGTTCCCCAGGCAGTCATTGAACTTTCAGTGCTCTGTCTCAGCCGCCCAACTAGCTAGGACTAAATGTGCTTAATTTAATTTAAACTAGCCCTGTGGTCCCCTAGCCTCCCCCTGCCTCCTACAGCTTCTCTAAGTCATCTAGAAAAGGGATGAGGGAATTACCAGGAGGGAGGCAGAATTAGGAGGAGGGGGTAAACAGCCAGCCAGGGAGGAGACAGGCATCTGGAAAATTCTTTCTTTGGTACCTTAAACAGCACAACATTGTGGCTTTCTGGTGAACACGTTAGAAGCCACTCCACTGTAGCTGTGCCTAAGGATAGTATTGGAAATATTAAACAGTGGGCATGGTGTGGGCAGCCACTAATTTGGACATCTTTATGGTTTAATAATGCTTACCGGCTCCCTGGCCACAAGCCTTATGCTGGCTTCTAGAATGCTGCAGCTTTCTACACCTTTCCCCACATTTATCACCTTCCAATTCCCAGAAAGAAGCTTTAGGGAAATGGTTAGGACTACTCCCCGCCGTGGGCATCTTCTTTAAACTTGTGCAGTCACACCAAATGTCCTTGTGCCTGTGGCAGACATCAGGTGCCACTGAAATGGAAGATGCAGTCCTTACCTCTGACAGCAAGAGAGTGTCTGACAGCAAGAGAGTGGACTATGGTGCTAGGGATTGTGCTTAGTAGTAGAGTATACACTGGGCATTCCATAGTGCTGAGTTTGGTCCCTAGAACCTCATAAGTTTATAAAAGAGTGAACGGGGTAGGGTATACTGGAATGGGGTGGGTATGATGGAGTGGGGTAGGGCATGATGGAGTGGGGTGGGCATGCTGGAGTGGGGTAGGCATGCTGGAGTGGGGTAGGCCAGGTGGGAGGTCCACATCATGTTATGCAAAGAATTTGTCTGCCCAGCTTCTCTTTTGCACTGTACTTCTTGTTTCTCTGACTCTTTTTTGTTTGTTTGTTTTGTGTTTCAAGACAGGGTTTTCTGTATAGTCCTGTCTATCCTGAAACTCTCTCTGTAGACCAGGCTGGCTTTGAACCCTGGAACTTGCTCTGTAGGCCAGGCTGGCCTCAAACTCAGAAAGATTCACCTGCCTCTGCCTCATGAATGCTAGGATTAAAGGCACATGCTACCACACCTGATTTGTATTTTTAAATATTCATCTGTGTGTGTGTATATGTGTGAGCATGTGTGTGCCACACATATTTGGGTGCCCCTGGAGACCAGAAAGGCCCTAGATCCTGTTGCTAAAATCCCTTCCCAAGGGGAGACATAAACAACACCCTTTTCTTACTGTCCTAACAGCACACTGAGGCAGGGCTCCACCAAAGTTCACTCTAGACATCCAGTGAGTTTCTCGGGCTTTCTTACAGAGCATAGATCAGTGGTTTTACCTGTGGTTGTAAAAGCTCCTTCCCTAAAAGGCAGGGATGAAGGCTCTTTCACAGCCACACAGACGGAGCCCTCTTTACTAGTCTTCTGCGCCAATATCCTCCAGCCCCTTCCCAAGGTTGCATACAACAGGACAGAGTTGCATACAACAGGTGGTAAGGAGATGCATTCACAGGTGAGGGTCTCATGATCTCCTCCCCACCCCTCTAGTAGGGGATATAAATAGTTAACAAGCTAGGATTTTTGCAAGCTGGAATGGCTGAATACCTCAAGGTGGAGGTTGTTGGGTTCAGAAGATAGTTCTGTACAACAGATTCCCGGGAACTAGTGTTAAGGTGCTTATGAGCCACCTGATGTGGGTACTGGGAACCAAAATCCAGTCCTCTGGAAGAGCAACAAGTAAGTGTTCTTAACCCTTGAGCCGTCTCTCTATCGCCATGTATGTGTATGTATGTGTGTATACATGTGTGTGCACACGAGAGTGTGACAGTGCATGCCTGCAGGGCCAGGTGTCTTGTGCTCCCTGCCTTACTTCTTTAAGACAGGGTCTCTCGCTGGAGCTGGAGCTGGAGCTCCTCGGCTGCTTGATCAATGAGCTCTGGCAAGCCACCCATCTCCACTCCTCTCAACACCAGGCTTACAGCATGTACAGTACAGTCATGCCCTTCTTTTTACATGGGGGCTGGGGCTTTGAACTCGTGTCCTCATGCTTGCCCACTGAGACATCTCCTCAACCCTCAAAGTGTATTTTAATCCCAGTCTGTACTATCCACACTCCACATGTGACACAGCCTCATGTGACTAGTAGTAGTTCCTTACTGGACAGAGAAGGATTGGAATGAGAAAGGTAGAATTTGAGGCTGAGCAAAACCATGTTTGTCAATGTGTGCTTGGTGTGCAGGAGATCCTAGGTTCACTTCCCCACATGTGAACTCTGTCAGGGATGTGTAGACACACTAAAGGTCACTACTCTATGACAAATGCATCTTCCTCAGCATGCACAGCAGTCCTTGCAGTACTAAGGACCCAGGAAGTATGCTTCATGCTGTGAGGGGAATTCCCAAGGAGAGCAGCCCACCTCACTTCCACACCCAACCCAGGGGAAGCCCAAAGCTAGAGAGATCATCAGGCAGCCCCTCCCTGCTTGCACAGCCCCTTCCTAAGGCTGGTCTGGTCGGGAAATGTAGATTCTAAGTCTTAGAAGGATCATTTCCTTCCCCACAGTCCCTTCTCATAATGTCCACACCTTAGGTGCCAGGCATAAAATGTTTTTATTTTTTAGTAATTGTAGCCAAAGTCACCAATATCTCAGATTTTTGAGGATGTAAATTTTGAACATTATCTGTTTGGGTCCAAAAACCAGGATCATCCTGTTGCTTCTATAGGGAAATAGTGAAGAGTCACAACCAGTGCCTGCCAATGGTTGTCACCAACTCCTGCAACTTGAACTTGATTTTTTACAAATAGTCCCAGGACAATCACCCCTGCTATGTGGCAGTAGAGAAGAATCTATGCAGCCTCATAAATCCACCTGATACCTAAGGAGTATGAAGAGACTTAAGTTACCTAAGGAGCCAGAAGAGACTTAAGTTGCCTAAAGCGTTCTCCAGATAGTTTGGCAGGCAGATAGAGGTACTAAGAAATGGTGCAGCACCCTGGAGGAGTGTGCATCAGCCCTCAGAACGCCAGCCAGATGCTGGTACACACGCAGTAGGGAGACAATGGCCTTTCTGTTACTGCTCAGATGTGCTTGTCACATTCTTTAATCGCCAACGGAAACTATTTTTCAAGGTCTAGGCCTTTCTGAAGTGAGATGAGGCAGAGCTGTAGCAGAGGGCTGGGCTTCCACAGTGACTGCAGGAAAATCTCCCACTGTGTCCCGGTGCCGGGGCCCCTTCCCTCGGGAAGGACAGCGGAAGACATTGGGAGGCAGGAGGGGGCTCTGAGGGCTGCGTCACCCACGCTTCCCTGATTGTCAGTTTCCTAGCACCCCGGCCTCCTCTCAGGTAGAGACGCCCCCTCCCGCGGTTCGCGCGGTTGGGAAGGAGGGGCTGGGCTCCGAGCGCCCGCCCCTCCATCTATCACATGGCCGGAGAGTCACAAAAACAACAGCTTTGGCCAAGACCGTGACTTCAGGAAGGGAACTCAGGGCTCTCGCCGCCAGCCCCCTCCCCATGGAGGACAGTTTTTTGGAATCGTTTGGGAGGTTGAGCCTCCACCAGCGGCAGCAACAGCAGCCGCCTCCTCGGCCGCCACCCGCGCGGGGGCCACCTCCGCGTCGCCACAGCTTTAGGAAACACCTCTACCTCCTGCGCGGCCTCCCGGGCTCGGGGAAAACCACGCTGGCCAGGTAATGACAGCGGCCTGGCGCCCACGCGCGCCCCTGCCCCGAGCGGCTTCGCGCGCCGCCCCTGCCCTTGCCCCGCGCGCCCGAGACCTTTGCCGCTCGCCGGCCCGGGAGGACGGACCTCGGCACTGCGCCTTGCGCAAAGCCCCAGACGCCACCGGCCCTTCCCCGCCGCGCCCGGCCTGGTGCCTGCCGGCGAGCCGAGGTAGCCTTCGGCCCCCCGCCCCGGGTCGGGGAGGCCCGCGGGGACTGCTCTTCGGGAAAACCTGGTAGCGACTGCAGAGAAACAAACCCGCTCCACGCCCGCTGGCGCGCAGGCAGCCGCCACGGTGCGTCAACAGGCACTGTCACCGGAGCGAGTTCGGGGGTCCAGGGCGGGGGTGGGGGGCACGCAGTGCTGGCCGGGGCCGGGGTTCGCTTTGAGATCTGGTGGATCGGCGCAGCCTGCGTCTGCTTTGGCGGCTGCGAAGGCGCACAGGTGCTCTGGGGAGGGGGGCTGGCGGCGCCACCACCGATCGTCACTGACAGCCTCTCCGCGGGCGCCCAAAATCGTTCACTTGCGAATTGCGTAAGCGGCCCTCCTGGTGCCGGGTCAGAGAGAACTGCGCGGGCTTGCTGCCTGCTGCACCTTGCTAGGCCCACCGCTCCAGCCTGAACGCCCTCCACTCCCTGCCCTGCACTTGGTGTTCCAGCAACGTTGGACTTTTTCTCTCCTTGCTGTGCTTGATGATGCTGGCCCTCCTGCCTGGCTTGCCCACCGCCACCCTTTGCCCGACTGATTGCACTAGCCTTTAAAAACCGGTTCTGTTACCTCCCCTCGCAGCTGCCTCACCCTGCCCTGGAAGCCGCTCTTCTCAGCGCCTTGGCTCCTGTTTCCATCTCTGTGACTGCGCTTAGTTTGCACGGGATTGGTCTTTCCTTCTGTGAGATACTTGAAGATAGGGCCATGTCCTAACCCTCCATGAACATTATCTGGCACGCACTAGTCGCTAGAAGCAGTCACTTGCCACCTGTGAGCTTTCCATCTCATCAGATAAGGCTAGCCATAGGACCCCGGAATCGCTGAAGAATCAAGGTGCCCTGCGGTCACATGCTGATTTCCATGGCACCAGGTAGCCATCATAGGGGGAGGAGGGCCTGAGTCTTGGATGTGAATGATGGGGAAACTGAGGTGGCCTATAAGGTGCTGACATTTGTAATTGGGGTCTAGTTGATTTGTGGAGTAGACGCATTTAGGTATAAAAATTGCTACCCTGGCAAATTAAAGGGATACGTAACACTTTCTAAGTCACACTTCTGTAGGTCCTTTTGGGGTTGGATGGTGCGGAGAGCCTCCTTGGAAAACCCGGCACAACGGTTTTGTTTTTTTGTTTGTTTGTTTTTTGTTGTTTTTTTTTTTGCTTGTTTGTTTTTGTGATACAGCAGTTCACGATGGTGCATCTGTTACCATATGTCTCTAGGATGCCGAAATCTTGTTCAATTTCACTTTCACTTTGCCAGCCTGTAAACCACCATCACACACTGAAAGTCAGAGAAGGAAGTTACTCCTTTGGCCAAGTCAACTCTACCCCTGTCGAGAAAGGAAGCCGTGTAGTGTGGGGATTAGAAATGAGAAAGACACTGGGAAGCCAGGGGCTTGGCTGGGGTGCTCTGTAAGGTTCCTTTCTGTCTCTAATTCTCTACACTTTTAATATTTGATTTCCTGCTTGACATTTGACTAAACAGAAGACATCGGACAAGAGAACATCTCATTAAACCCCTGTAGGGACAGATGCAGTGAGCCCTGCCTGAAAGAGGGACACCTGCTGTAAATGTCCCTCACCACTAGCTAGCTGCTGTCTCAGAAGCCCCTCTGCCTCTGGGTTACTAAGAGGTGATGAAGTTAGAGCGTTTCATGGGATCCTTCCTGTTCTCACAGGAAGTTTGTGAAGATGGAATCTGAGGTTACCCCCTGAAACTTGAAGGTGGTAGCTACATACACTTTAGGCATATTTACTAGACAGGTGCTTGAGAGGCTGAGATGAACTCCAGGTATGGAGGCAAAGCCTGGCTTGCTGTGGAGGAGGGCCCATAGTGCCGGGGTGCTGGTCACTGTCGGCCTTGGGCTCAGGAGCCTTGCATGCTTCCAGATGCCTTGTGGTTTATATAAAGTTCAGTGGGGTGGGGAGCCTTAAGAACCAGTCAGGAAGTCACAGCCTAGCCTCGCCAACCATGTTGGCAGCGAGAGAGGAGAATGGAAACTTGCTTTAAAATACACTTGTGCAGAAAATAGAAAACTATAAGGTTATTAGTATGTATTTGCTAGATTCTGAGAGTCGTTTTCTCTACATGTTTTCCACACTTTCTATAATGAACATGTATTTCTTAAATCAGACTAATAAAACTTTTTTCTTTAACATTGGAGGAAGTTAGTTTTTGCAAATATGAGCTTATCTTTTCCTGATTAACTTTTATATCTCATTTGACTAAATAACTAATAAAAATCTCTTTTAAAAATAGGATCTGTTTTGTCTTTCAAGTCAATGTTTTATTCTAGAATATTTACCTATGTCTAAGTGGCTGGGATATGGAAAAATCTGAACTCGTTGGATTTCTTCTTTTTTAATTGGATTTTTTTTGAGACAGGGTTTCTCTGTGTAACCACTCTGGCTGTCCTGGAATTCACTTTGTAGACCAGGCTGGCTTCGAACTCTCCAAGATCCACCTGCCTCTGCCTCTGGAGTGCTGGGATTAAAGGCGTGTGCCAGCCTCCTATTTAGATTGGATTTTATCTGGTTAAAAATTTTAACCACATCATAGTACTCCAGTCAGTGCACTCTCTAAATGTATATTAGTACCCAAGTTCAGTTAAGTATCACTGGGGAAAAGGGATTATTGCTGTGATTCAAGTTCTGGGCACTCATCCTGAGGAAATGCTTGGTCCAGCACACGGACACAGAGGAATGTTCATCAGAAATTTTGTGTGGCAGAAAAAAATGCCAGGCAACTTAAGTATTAAATATAAAATATTAAATAATAAATATAAAGTTAGATTGGTGTATGAGTCACACAGTCCCTGGTGGAAACAGATATATATTTGACCTGTAAATGTGTTCTTTCCTGTCTTAAACATACACATGGGACTGGGCATGTATCTCAGTGGATATAGAGTGTGTGCCCGGCCTGCACAAAGCCCAGCGTCTCAGAAACCAGCTATGGTGTTGCTCACCTGTGATCCTAGCTCTTGAGAAGTAGAAGTAGGAGGATCTGGAGTTTAAGGTCATCTTTGGCTACATAGTAAGTTCAAGACCAGCCTGGGATACATGAGATCCTGTCTCAAAAATGAAAAATAAAATAAGAAGAAAGGCACTCGTGCACACACACACACACACACACACAGACACACACACACATACACACACACACACATCCTGTTTTATGTTCAAAGAAAAGGGTCTGTATAGATTCTTAGGGAAAAATAACTGTGAGGAGATAAGTACACACTCATAGGTGTTGATTTTTAGTAGTGACTTTTCCTTCATTTGTTTTCTAATTTTCAGCAACAATTGTCTGTTGCTTGGTAACTTAAAGAAAAACATTTTAAACATATATGATTGCTTTGCCTTTATGTATGTATGTTTACCACACATGTGCATGATGCTCAGAGAAGTCAGAAGAAGGTACTACATCTTCCGGCACTAGAGTTAAGAATGGTTATGAACCATCATGTGAGTGCTGGGAGTCGAACATGGGCCCTCTGAAGAGCAACAAGCACTGTAACCTCTGAGCCATCTCTCCAGCCTGCTTGGTAACTTTTAAAAGGAAAAATCAAGTCACAGTTGAACAGAAGGTTTGTTTAATGACCTAGCTAACTATGTCACTCTGTCAGTGAATGTCTTTCAAGGGTTAATTTCCAGTTGGACATATTCTAGGACACTCACTCATAAGGAAATGAACTTTTAATGACAATGACATTTTATCTCTTGTTTTCTTAAGATTTATTTATTTATTATATATGCAACGTTCTGCCTGCGTGTATGCCTGCAGACCAGAAGAGGGCACCAGATCTCATTACGGATGGCTGTGAGCCACCATGTGGTTGCTGGGAATTGAACTCACGACCTCTGGAAAAGCCGCCAGGCTCTTAACCACTGAGCCATCTCTCCAGCCCTTATCTTGATTCTTTAACTCCCTAGATTCTTCTCTAGTAACACCAGCTAGCACTCCACAAATCCATTCATTGTGAAGATCATAGCATAGTAAACAGATGCCATGGGATGCATGAGTACCATCTGTGGCTAGTGTTAGTCAACCGATAATCAACAGTGGCGGTGTTCCCTTGCTTACTGAGACTTATACTCAATAACAAGTGGAAACAAGCTGACAATTAGCCATCCGTTCTGTCCTGTAGGCAAGTAGGGTGCGATGAAACGGCATATTGGTGCTGATAGCCTTCAGGGATAAGGGAGCCTGTGCAGAGGGTGAAAGCTAAGGACAGAGTCCCCCCACACACACACACTCGTGGAGGCAGTTCTGTCTTGACCTTGAAGAGGAGGTGGAGCAGGGATGGGAAAGAGCCTGTTGATCTGCTGGGCTTGACTAAAGGGGAGCTTTCATAGCAGTGAATCCAGGGCTCATCTAGGACATGATTAAACATCAGGCATGGTGCCCAGGAAAAGGCTGGGCAGGGGAAGTGCTTGCTGTGTAGGTCTCACTATCTGGGTTCAATCCGTAGAGCCCACAGAAAGGTAGAGGGAAACAACTAACTTCAGGGTCGTCTTCCGGCCATCGCAGTCTCTGTGGTACACCATTTAACACGTACACCATGCACACAAACAATAAAAATAGTTTTGAAAAGTTGGGTGGGGAAGTAGAACTAGAGTTCCAGTCCTGAGCCCTTTATTTGGCCTCGTGGTCCAGGACTGCCATCATGACCCAGCCATGTGATTCTGCGCTTGCCTTTTCCTGCAGCCTCAGCAACAGGTCTGTGGCTGTGCCTTGGCACTTCCCTTTGTGTTTGTGCT